GATCTCAAATGGAGTAATTTATTTATGTTTAAGGACAGTGGCTAATAGGTCCAGAGTCTAATAGGAAGTAACTTCAGTATCAGGTAAATTAAATCAAAGGGCATACACCTTTAAGCCAGCAACTGACCATCTAGTAAATCTGAAATGCTAAAGGTTGATGTGTTCAAGAGAGAGATTGGCATTTTTTCAAATTCTAGTAATTTTTAATTTTGACACAAAGAAGTTCCTGTTGGGGTAAGCATTTCCCCTCAAGGGTAGTAATCCAAACAAGTACCAGTGCAAGAGTGGAGGGTCATTTCCATAGTTTCAAAGGAAATGAAATGTAAAAGCTGAAGACTGCATGAAGCAAAAGTAAAAATAATTTATTAAATATTTTAAATCTAACAGTCATCAGTAATTAATCATTAGCATTAAAGCTGTCTGTCCACTCAAGCAGCTCCCATAATCACTTTTTGTTAGTGATTTATTGTTAAAAGTGCTTGCAGAGTAAATCTCCAATCTTTTAAATAACTTCCTGCTAAATCACAGCTTTGATGTTGCACCTGCACGTTGTTTGTATTGATTTTTTTAATCTTAAATCATTGAAGATGAGAAAATTAGTTAAATGTGGATGTCACAGGCCTTAACAGTTGAAACTGATGAGAAATTTCTATATAGCTATTTTCAGCTCAGAAGTCTGAATAAAGGAGTTTCTGTGCACTGGGGTAGTGCAACTTTTTGCTTTAATACTTTACAGATTTTTGGAACAAAATGCGCCAGAACTGAAAAGCAGCATTTTTTGCTGACCTTGTTAGAAGGCTAATGCTTCTTTCTGGGAAATAAATGAAACAAGCAGTTCTTTGTTGGCTGAAGTGGAGTGAGAAAAGGAGGGGAGCCCAGTCTTTTTTTCTTTACAGTGTCATGACTAAGTCAGAACTGTAGTATGGCTGGTTTTTCAGTTTTTGGGGTTTTTTTTAACCTTTGTAGACGTTTGTTTTTCATGAGACTGTGTTGCATGAGACCTGGCTTTGGCTAGTTCGTCTGAGTTTGGGTCTGGGCTGCCTATAAACAGAGCAGAAAGACAACAGCTGCACTTCTGACACTTAAATAATAAAAATGTCCAGACACTTCTGACACTTTAATAATAAAAGTAGGTGCAATCAGTTCAATCCATATGTCAAAAATGATTGACACTTGCATGTTTTGGCTTCTGCAACTTGTATGTCTCTTCCCACAAAATAATCCTTGCCTAGTATATATCCAGTAAAGTCATCCACAGAAAGGTCTCCTACAATGTCAGAAAACCTAATTCACTAGGATATCACTATTAATTTAAAGGCAAACAAAAGCAATAAAATAATTCTTTTATTTTTCTTCTAACTGGAAAAAGAAAACCACATAGGTCTAACTTGATGTAAACAAAATAATTGCAATTTCATGGACTGCAATGGAACTGTGGTTGCATAGTTCAGGTTTGGAACTTAGCTCCATGTTTTTACTTGCTTTCATTTGGGCTGGATAATTGCATAATGGCTGTTTATTGAAAGACTTACTTCATTTTGCAAAATAATTAGGTTTTCCCCAAGAGAACTGAATCTCTCTTTCTGAATTCAGCAGACCCTGAGTCTGTCTGCTGTAATGATGATACTTCTCTCATTTTAGACCCAGTCTCTTTTACCACAGAGTGGTAAATTTGAGCTTTTGAATATTTTTTTCTTTGCAGAACTTTAGAGATGTTACACTGGAGTCCCAGACCCTGCCTAGTGAATTGAAGCTTACTGAAGACCAGTTGTTTTTTATTTGGTAACTTTTTACCCTCTCCAAACCAGCCCAATGGTGCAGAGGCTCCGCAGAGCTCTGGATGAGAGGAGCTGCCGGGGTCCCTGGTGTGTCTGTGCGGTCACAGCGGGGTCTGTGTCGGGCAGTGCAGCTGGCATGTGAACTGCAGGTTTTTCTTTTTTAATCCAAACTTCATTATGTTCCTCAGACCATTCAAATACAAATTCAGAGCTGAAATACAAATTGAAGCAGGAATTACTAAAACCTCGTAAATATCACAACAGATGTGCCATATGATTATATCACACGGAACAGAGATTTGTAGAATGTCATTGTTTGTTAAGTTGCTCACTAGGGCTGACCCAAGACTTTCCTTTCACTGGCCTTGTTCAGACCATTAGTGACAAGAAGTTACCAGCTGGATACCAACCCACTTTTGCTGCCCGGGTTCAGCTCTGGTTCAGTTGAGCAGTCCTAGGAGAAGCACTTAGGTAAAATATATTTCACAAGCCAAGCTCAAGTTTATACCACAAGGGTAATTTGCCCATTGTTTTGATTCTTTTTATTCTACCAGTGTATTTAAAGATGCGCTATTAGTTTGAAGTCTAGACAGTATGAAACCTATCAAACATGCTTAGAAGTGTTCCAGATAAAATATTTTTCCATTTTCCTATGCATATCATTGTAACTCTACCATTAAGAAAAGCAATTTAGTTTAGTCAGTTTTTTTTCTTGTTGTTTGAAAAACTGACACCGTGAAAATTGGTAAAGCAGTAAGAAGTCTTAGTCCTGTAATAACTGTCATCACACTTTGCCGCGCTTCTTTAGAAGAGTCTGGTGTTCTGCCTGGGTACTGGGGCTTGCCCAGGTAGGTAGGATTGCAGGACAAAATCTACCTGACATTACCTATAGTGTTGCATATGAAATTGCATTAAGATCTAGCCCAGATCTGATAGAATTGGAATCAACTAATTATTTGGGTTGGGAAAGCCCTCAGAAGTAATTGAGTCTGACCATTGACCCAGCACTACCAAGGCCACCACTGACCCAAGCCCTCAGGTGCTACAGCCACACAGCTTTTGAATTCCTCAAGGGATGGATCACTGTCCTGATCAGCCTGTGCTAGAGCTGGACAGACCTTTTGGCAAAGAAATTTTTCCTAATCTCCAATCTAAACCTCCTGTGGGATGACACACTGGAGTGTGCAGTCCTCTCCAGAACACCTGCTTCTGGAAGCAAGTTGCAAAGATGGTTTAGATCTGCCTGCATGCTTTCCACAATGTCCAGAAGGATTTATTAGTGTGGGCTTTGCACCACCTACAGGTAGTAAAGCTGCCCTTAGATCCATCTGGTCGTGTGATAGCCCAGGACTAATTCTCACCTGGTCCATGCAGCTAGTCCTGATCTGCATCAGCAATAAATCTAACCTGGGTCCTGAGCAAACCATGGAGTTAAAATGTTGAAAATTCACTGTGTTTCACTCCTGGCTTGTCTGGAGGATTTCAATGCTGGATTATGGTACTATTCTTAGCACCATAAACAGGAAGAAATTTTCTTGGTAAGCTATGAGGGATACCTGCTGTCTGAGGGGATGGGGCATTCTATTAGCTTTGTGACATGTTGGCACCAGAGTGACACACAGAGAGCTACACAGACTTAGTTTCTTTCGTGGCAGTTCTGTGAATAAAAATGTTCATCTCACAGAGAATTCTGCTCTGATTTATAGTTTCTGAATTTGATCAGAAAAGATTATGCTGATTTAAGAAATATTAACAATCTAAGCAGTATTAACTTGTTCAGCAACAGCCTTCTGTCAGCAAGTGAAGGGGTTTACCTGGCTATAACTCAGGTTTGCTTACTAAAGACTAAAGGTCCTGTTTCTAACCCTGCCATCTATGATGTTCTTCCCCTGTCAACCTTTAGAATATCCTACCAAAGGTGGGGGACTGATGGGTCATATTCTAGCAGAAAAGGTTTCAGTTGTTAACTGGAAATTACTTCCAGTAATAATTGATTTAAATCTGTCAATAAAGACAATGTTAAATTGAAATATTTTTACTAGCTTACTGCCTATTATAGGCACACATTTTTAGGATTTTTCAGTTTGAAAAAATGTTGTTTACTAGTTCATTAGATAAATATTTGAACATACCAGGATAGGTATTATTATATTGTAAGTATTCCTGTTTGATAAACTCAGAACATATAAAATCATTTATTAAGCAATTGCTAGTGCAGATCTTGCCAGAGGAGTAGTTGTCTCAGTCATTTGAAGTGCAGCAATTCTAAGGATGCATTCCTGTGAGAGAGCGGTGTGTCCTGGCCCTGTGCAGCGGGTCAGCGCTTGCAGCCGGTGCCACGG